GCAACTTCAATGCAGCTTTCTCTTTTCCCTGAGACGAGGAATAGGTAGCTTTCTACTTTGATTCTGGTTGCAGTAGGAATAGCAGAGTGAATTCATTTTCCTTAAAATTGACAAGGAAAAAAAATTTACACACAGTAAACTGCATCTTTTCAAATTCAGTGAGTTTGAAACATACAGAACATTTCTATCAGCCCCAAAAGATTCCTCTGATCCCTTTGCGTCTGTCCCTTCTCCTTTGCCCTTCGCCCCAGGCAACCACTCATCTGTTGTCGCTATAAATTAATTTGCATTTTATATGAATAGAATCCTACAGTATGTACATTTTTATCTTTTTTTCACTCAACATGCTGATGTTTAAATGCGTCCATGTTGCATATGTTCTTTTTATCATTGAGTAGTAGTCCACTGTATGGATATACCAGCTTCTAATGGACATTTGAGTTGTTTTCAGTTTCTTTAATTAAGCTGATTTGAACATTGATTTGCATGTCTTTGTATGGCATATGTTTTCATTTCTCCCAGTTGAGTGGTGGGCCATATGGTAGTTGTTTGTTAAACTTTTTAAGAAACTGCCAAAATGTTTTCCAAACTGACTATACTCTTTATTCCTTTTCTATTCCCACCAATAGTGTATGCAGTTTTCAGTTGCTCCACATCCTCATCAACACTTAGTTCGTATAATTGATCTTTTCAGTTTTAGTCATTCTAATGGGTTTACAGGTAATAGTATTTCACTGTGGTTTTAATTTGTGTTTCCTTGATGTCTAATGATGCTGAACATCTCCTCATGGCTTTTTGTATATCTTTTGTGTAGTCTCTGTTCAAATCTTTTGTGCATCTTAGAACATATATAGTTTATCTTCCTGTTATTGAATTGTAAGAGTTCTTTACAAGGTCTGGATACCATGTCTTTGTAAATAGAAATATGTGAAATTTTTCTTTCAGTTTGTGAAAACATGTGAATTCTCCCAGTCTGACTTGTGTTTTTATTTTCTTAATGGGGCCATTTGAGGAGCAAACACTTTGAATTTCTGTGAAGTCTACATTTCCTTTCTTTCTTTTTTGTTGTTGTTAATCCTCACCTGAGGATATTTTTTTCTTTGATTATTTTAGAAAAAGTAGAAGGGGCGTGGGGAGGGAGGAAAGAGAGGAGAGAGAGAGAGAGAGAGAGAGAGAGAGAGAGAGAGAGGGAGAGAGAGAGAGAGAGAGAGGAATATCGATGTAAGAGACACATGATTGATTGCCTCCTGTACACAGCCTGACTGGTGGGGATCAAACCTGAACCCAGGTATATGTCCTTGACTGGGAATTGAACCTGAGACCTTTCAGTATGTGGGCCGACACTCTAACCACCAAGCCACCTACCAGAGCAAGTCTAGTTTTTCTATTTTTCTTTTATGGTTTGTGCATTTTGTATACCTACCTCAGGATTTCATATATTCTGTGAGCTTTTAATTTTACCTTTTATACTGAGATCTATCATCCATTTCACATTAATTTTTGTATATGGTATGAAGTAAGGGTTAGTATGGAAATTATTTGAGTGTCTATTATGTAAATAAATGTCCCAAGACATGTAATTATTGCCATTTTAATAACGAAGAAAACAGATCTCCGAAAGATTAAGCAACTTGCTCAAATCATCCAACCAAGATTCAAGCCCATGCTTTCCCAGTGCCAAAGCCCGTGTTCTCCCTACCGCATTATGCTGGCACTGTGTCTTCAACTTTGAACTGGAATCCACATAAGCAGTGTCCAGCTGTAACCTGTGAAGAGGCTATAAAAATATGAGATGCTACTGCCATTCTGAGGGCATTCCCTGCCTTAGGGTATGAACCACATGGATGTTGAGAACCAGGGCAGGGGTTGCACGTCAGCCAGCTTGCTTAGGTCTGTATCTCAGAAGCTATAAATACAACTCTTTCGGTGCTCTCTTGGCAAGAAGCCTGATTCTGAATTCTTTTCCATTTTACAGCTGGTCAATCAGGAATATGAAGTTAAGTGCCTGTCCATATAGACAGTTAATCCTTAGAGCACCCAGCTGGATGGCTGAGCTCCACTGTGTTTGGTTTGAGTTTTTATTTTTGGAACACAAATAGTGAGTCAGCCTCCCTTCGCTCCCTCTCTCTTCCTCACTACCCCTTCTGGGTTCTCTTAGACGCTGTGGTCACACTAGGTAAATAGTCTTTTCCCTAAAACGTCCTTTGAACCATGACGAAGTAAGGGGAGAGAAGTCCCCTGCCCTCTGTTACTCAGTGTGCCTCCCCCACTTTAAAAGAAAGGTCTATTTAAGGCCATTCACTTTTGCCATTTTCAAAGAGTCTCTGAGTCTTACTTAGCCAGGACTATTTTATTTCTTTAAAAAAAAAAAATGAGGGAGGGAATGTGAAGATAACAGCTATACCTCTCTGTTCTTGCTTTCCAACACTGTAGCGTTGGTAAATTCACTCCCTTTCTTCCTTTCTTTTTGTGAGGCAGTGTGGTGTTGGGGGAAGAGCATGAGGCTTTAGAGTAAGAAGTTTGTAGGTTTGAATCCCATATCCAATGCTTACATAGCCAGCAAATCATTCAGTCTCCATGAAGTTCAACTTCCTTTTCCTTTTTGTAAAATGGGAATGACATGTACCTAAGCGTTTGTCATAGAATGTCTATACCGTGCCTGGCATATATGTGTGCTCTGTCATCTCTTCCTGTTACCTTTTGTTCTCTTTCTGAAGAGTAAGGACATAGGATACTCATAAAAAGTCTGAATAGGGGGAGTTTTGAGTTTTATAAACAGTGTGTTGTTTTTTTTAGTTCAGAGCCCTATTTAAGGTGCCCTTAAAAAAGAGAAATGCTTTCTCTTTGGCCGAGCTGGGAAGTCTAATTCAAAGCCCCGCCATGGAGGGTGAAACATCAGAGTCATTCTGCCCGTTGTTTTTCTTGCTGCTGCCAAGTATATTATTGTCTTTGGTCTCTGGAAGCAAACTCGACTGTGATGTGATTATTTGCTAGTGAGAAGCTTATCTTATGGGCAGAAGTGTGAGTTGGGAAAGGGTTGGAGGAAAAAAGACAACCTATCTGTCTAATACGGAGAGGGCCAAGTATAGGTTGATAGAAGGAGAGGGAAACCTAGTTTTCATATTTAAGAGGGTTATACCTCCATCCTCTGCAGTACAGCCCTGAAAAACGCCGATCTCTGTCCGGGTGGGATGAGGACACATCAGTGTCTCTTAGTACCTCTGGTTGCCATGCCTCACAACTGACCTTATTTTCCTCTTTGCACTAGAGCCTCCTTTGCATTTCAGCTGGGGAGGGGGCTGCCCTCTGCTTCCACTTTGGCCACTAAGGATTCTGTGGTCTCCCCAGTCACCATGTTCAAACCTGTATACCCTTCGAGATACAGTTCAGGGCTTAGCTCTTCCAAGACGCCTACCTTGACTACTTTGCCCGGTTTGATGGTTCCTTGGCCATCCTAAATCATTCTAGCAGCCTTGAGAATCTAAATCTGTGAATACTTAATGAGTACACACTGTGTGTTGGAGAAAGGGGATTGGTTACAGAGACAGATGAGAGGTAGGACCAGTGCCTAGCACTTAGACTTGACTATTTCTTGCTCCACTTTCCTCTCCTCAACCAGGTTTCTAGACCTCTTCAGAATTGCCTCCGCAGTCTAGTGATTACTCACTCTAACCTGCATCTCTGCTAGTACATAAATGTAGTTCAAATTTTGTTTCGGTTTCCCAGGCTTCATACTGTCTCTACAATTTTGGATGCAGTTTATTTTACTTAACATTACAAATTTAAAAATGCTTATTATAAACTTTGAGGATAATTTAATGTCTGCAAATATAACTTACTCACTGAAACACTGTATACTGCCAGAACATTGGAGCCTTAGTTTTCCTAGATAAGGAAATGGGCTTCCATGAATCATTAAAACCCCCGCATCAGGTTTGTTTTATGCAGGTTGCCACTTAGGCCTAAAATTCTGTTTTCCCCTCTCCAACTGTATACAGACTATTTTGACTCTCCAACAAAAAAAAAAAAATGAGAAATTTAGTCTCGTTTATCTTAAGGTATATGTTATATGGCTGAAGAACATCTACATTCAGATCTGTAAAATAAGTGTTAAGTTTTACCTATGGATTAATTCTAAGAACAAATAACTACTAATTGTTCTTTGCAGTGTTACAGTTGTATAAATGTGCATAGCGGAGTTGGTGAAGAAAATAAAGATCTATGGTACTAAGCCTGTGACATTTAAGAAGAATATTTCAAGCATCAGGATCAAATAGGAAATTCCATTTCTATATTCTATCATTTGCCACATTTTCTTTGCTTCATATTTATACCTTGTCTTTGCTTTTTGTTTTCCTTGGAGTTTGTAATTGCCTTTTTCTCCTGATAAAGGAAAGAAGCATCTGCTTTTACCTTATGACTGACTTCATTTAGCTTCTTAGTCATAACGTTCAT